TATACATATTTACATTAATTCTCATATCAAAATATATTAATCATCAACGAACTTTATATGTGTAAAATATATCGACATTCTTATCATTTTTAGAGATAAGCTGTAACTATACTTTTTGATAATATACGTATATACATGTGTTATAATTGAACTAAAATATTCTTTCAAGCATAGTCGATTATCTTTGTTCACATTACGCATATAAAGATATATTTCATAATTATTGGCTTTTAACTTTTTTTTTAATTATTTAGATAAATTCTTTGTTTCTAAGTAACCTCCTTCGAGAAGTCTAATAAACGGAAGCTTTGATTTGTCAATTTTCAGTCGTCGATTTAACGTAAATGTAGGAAATCAGAAAGACGATCAATGGGGGAAACGAATTGGGTACTGCGTGACTGAGAACCGCAAACCCTATTTAGGGCTGGGAAGAACCTTTATGAGAGTGACACGCACGATTTCCTGCTGAGTTTCGTGTCACGTAAGTTGCGTAACAGGTGGCATAGAGTGACAGAAGGAAAGGCTGGCTTCTTAGAAAGGAAAAAAAAACAACTCCCATTCACTTATATTAGAAAAGTTATCACCCCGGACATCGAAGGAAATTGAATCACTCAATGATGAAATGTCACCTACCAAGCACGATACGGCGTTGGGAAAGAAACTTTCTCATTTCCTGGATGTCTGTTTTTGAAATGATTGAACATGAATCGCTCGAGGAAGAAAGAATATTACTTTGTCGTATCTTTCTCTCGATACGATGAAAATGAATATTCATCAACTTGTAGTAATAATAAAATTGTGCTGCCATCGACGATAATTCTTCGGGAAGCACAGCAATGACTATTTCAATGCACCTAACCCAATAATCGATAGGGGTAGAAACGCATTAAATTTTACGAAGCACGAAACGTCGATTAGAGATGGTCGGAAGAAGTGGGCGGGCAAAGTGAATGGAATAAAATTTTCATCGGACCGCCCTTGCAACTATGAAAATAGGCCTTCCGGGCATGTCTCTTTTTCTTTCCTCGGAATTTTCTCTTCGACGGGTGACACGAAAAAACTTCTTAAAACTTTCGTGTTCCGCCGCATCATGGGAGGCTACAGACTGGGCGGTCTGGAAAGTCAGAAGTTCGGGGCCACGAGGAAAAACAGAAACAGAAAAAGGACAACGGACAGTCGAGAGAGAAACAAGGATTATCAATCAGAATGACAGTGATATAGAAAAGAGCTAAGCCACATTAGTCTCCGCCCGGTGGATTCATTCGCGCTGCCAATCACGCCGCCACTTTGAAATCTCTGGGGAACCCTAGCAACCGTATCTTTCGCAATTTTCATTCGAGGACGACGGAATCGAAAATATTGTCTCAATGTACGTAACACGGGCCATCCTTGAACCGAACGTATACCAAAAATAGATAACTTTTCTTTAGTGAACAGATAGTTTCGCAAACGCATAGTTATTTTAATCCTTTACGTTAGAACTTAAAACTTCCTTTTAAACAAAATTCATTCATATTACACGTATAGAAATATATTTCGAAATTGTTAGTTTTTTAATTTTTCCAAATTATTTAGATAAAATCTTTGTTCCTAAATAACCGCCACTTTTAAAACACAATAATAATAAAATATTGTACCTAATTATTTAATAGAAGATTCAAATTTTCAATATTTAACTTAAACATAAATTTTCGTTATCCGTCGTTTAGTTTCCAGCAGCAAGTTCTGATGAATCATTATGTTGGGTAAAAATTTCTTTTTAATTTCTCTTTTTTTTTAAATTTTCCATCGAGACAACGATCTACAGTGAGATCCGTTATAACGTACCGCACGCGTACCGAGCGAAAATTCAAAGTCGATTTTCTCGAAAACAAAGCCTCGAACGACAAATTTTTATTCTATATTTTCGACTTCTTTTTTCGCGTAGAATCACCCCCTGTCCGCTTGTACCACCAGTTACCAACCACACTATATATATCATCGCAGATGTGCATGCGATTAATTAAGTTGGTGAATATTCATAAATTCATAATAACAAATAACTGGGTGGCATATTGTAAATTGTAGGTTTAATGTTACAACGATACACATACGCTACGAACATAATGAGATATACAATCGTGGCTATTTCAACGTAATGTCAAATGATAATTAAGAATATTTACATTACGCTCGTAGATTCGTTTTTGCAGACCGTGTTTGAACAAGCAATGACGTCAAATGAAATTAAACCATCTGCCGATATATCGTCGAAATATAACGTTCGCGTTATCGATCGGTGCAAGGCCGATGAAAAGGTCTAACGAAAGTGGGCTAATTAATTGCCAGCGATATCGGCGGGTATATTTCATCAAATCAAATTCACATAAATATATCTACTACCAGAAAAATGATGAACTACGAAAGAAACAATAAATTCGAGCAATTTTTTTGCACGTTTTATATATCCAGAATTCCTGTTAATTTTATAATTATACATATGATCTAAACTTATATTCCAAGTCTTTAAATTTGTATTACGATTTCACAGATTATTTAAAACACGAAATTTATACGTTATTTGTACGAAATTTAACGTTTCAATAATCTTGTTTTAATAATCTTGTTTTTTTACGAATAACGAAAAGCGTTATTATCCATGCACAAGAATGTATTTTTGTTGTTATAAATTCAATAACAAAAACGAAGGAACGTCAACATGATGGGTTCTTTAATTTAATCAGCCATTGAAGAAATTCAGCGTTTTATACAAGGTGACCCAGATTCTGACGCCCAAGCATTGTTAGTATATTTAAATAAGAAAAAAAAATGTTATATAAACATAGGTCGTTTAAACCTTTATTAAAAAAGTGACGAGAAAAATATGAAATACGATGGGAACAGTAGCGGACTCACGGTTATTGCGACATAATGTAGGGATACATCAGCGATACTTACGTTTAGTCTGTCTATGCAAAGGTAACTAATTCTCCATCTCAAAATGTCCACCGTTCTGACAATAGAGAATCGACAATGGCCGAAAATAGAATTTATTACCCAGCGAATTTCATTTCTATTCCATTCCATTTCAGTAAATGCGTCATTTTGAGATGGAGACATTTTGTGTTGGAAAATTTGTTACCTTTGCATAGAGCGAACGTAAATATCGCTGATGTGTTCTCATATTATATCGCAGTAATCGTGAGTCTGCCACTGTTCTCTTTGTATTTCATATTTTTGTGCGTGTTACATGTACGATAATATTTGATAATTAATAAGTTCTTAATAACGAGGCATTTATAATGGTTCAATCATTAATTACGCTCAATTGTGTAAACTTGGAGCGAAATTTATCTTTGATGTCATCCAAAAAGGATTATTGCATTCTCGTCGGGACAAATTCTACAAAATTGTGGTTCGTTTGGATTGCCGTTACATTTGATTGCTTGATTGCCTTCGTTGCTGTGTATTTGTGAATGTATATTCTACGCAATATTCATGTTGAAATTGTTTTAACGAGCAATTACTTGTCAAATAACTAGAAACGATAGAATATTATTAATTGATTTCACGATAAAATATCAAATGATTATGTTCTTTTGTTTTTCATTTTTATAGCGAGTACATGTATAAGTACATACAGATATCGGGTGTCTGAAAAATCATATTATCTATTCATTTGTTTAAAAATAGTATCGATAGGTATATTCACGTCTAAACATAATGTTTTATGACCATGATACACTCTATTGCAATATATTTATATTCATATCATCAACAAATGTAATAATGTTGAGAAAGTTTGAAGCATCTAATGCACTTTTATTTCGATTTATATTCATCACTTTCAATGGTGTTTCACCTATACACTTAAAAAATTTAAAGAATTTTGTATTGGAAATCCATTAAAAAATATATATTCCATAGCTCAATTACATTGGACTGTAATGATTTTATTCTTTATAATCGCCATAGCCACAAACAACAGAATATTATAACACGATTAAATCGATTTGTAAAATTCAACAAGCAGTAATAAAAGTGAAGTTTGTAAATTTCTTCATTTTTGAATTATAAGCCAGATTAAACAAATTTTCTTAAACCGATAATTAATGTCAGGGATTAATGCAAGCAATAATACCTAAATAAAAAATGTATATATATAATACATAGTAAATCATAAGATATATTAGTGCTACATCTTCTAATAGGTAATTCAAATTTACAATCTACTTATTTCATAGAAAAAATGGCGATTTCAGCTTCTAATCGTTAATTTATCATTAATTTTAATTGAATTTAAATATTACCACTGCGAAATGACAAGATGTTTATGAACAGTGATGTATCTATCGATTATCATGAGAATTTACTAAACAGTGGATATCTTAAAATAAAATTTAAATATTTAATCGCAGTTACTTTTCTCGTGTACTTAACTGAGCTCATACTCTGTAATTCGTATTTAAAAAAGAAGACTCTAAGAACTATAGGGAACCATTTAGAAAGCAAAAACTTTCAGAGACTGTCATGGGAACGTTCTCGTACAAGATACGAGGCAAGAAATCGCTTCTGATCTTGCATCCGCAAAAGTTGTTTGATGAACTTCATTTTGTAAAAGACACGGCTTTTAATGTTCCGCACGACATTCTCACAGCGAGATATTCGTCAGAGGTACAAAGTATCCGCACCGAAATAGTCTGTGAACTAAAAGCTATCGCAAAAGAGCGTCACTCGAGTCTACCTGGATACATGTTCATCGGTGAACATCGTTTTCAGAATACGCTGGCCGAGTTTCTTTGTGGGTCGCACTTTGGCAACGCACGAAAAGACAGACAGTGTTAATTTCTTTTTTTTTTCGACGGTGCAAACGCGAAAGCCTTCCTCTCTGTCTGTCTTCCTTTTTCTATATTCGACGGTGTTCTATATTCAATCTTCTATATTTGCTCTCGTTTTCGTTTTTTCTATTTTCTTACCAGTGTAATAGTGAAATCGTGTCTATGTACATTGTTTATACTCACTTTTCCATCTGGACTGCATACTTTAATACCCGCGAGCGACACTATCAGGAGAACGGGCGTGGACCGATCACTATACTGAAAAGAAACAAACGTTTTCATATAGAGATTGAAAAATATTGCAATTGGATTGCACACTACATGCTCACTTATTAGTACACTGCATCTCATAACGATAGGACCGCTCAAAAACTTGTAACTTTTACATATCCTGTTACACATGTTTATTTATCAACTTGGTAAGGAACGACTTATGCCATATTTGAAATTATATTGAGAAACAATCTTCTCGCTCTATTATATTCGCTAGAAAAATTACTTTTCTGTTTCATAACTTTGGAACTTGCAAATGAACTTTTAGAACATAAAACGAAATTGTAACAATAGTTTTTATAAGTTTAACTGTTCGGCTTTGTCGTGTTCTCTACAAGAATTGAATTTTAGGGTAATATAATTTAGTCTTATAATCATGAGACGCAATGTATTAAATATTCTTTAAGAATTCATAAATATGTAAATTGAGAATTTATCACGTATTAGCATATGTAGAAATAGACATATTTTGTTATAATCTAAAATAGTCGCTGTAATTATAAGTGACAGTTTATAGTTTATAGTGCGTCTATAATGAATTTCGGATTTTTTAATCGTTACTTACAGACAATTCCAATTTTTCTTTTATATTGGTTAGTATATTATTCGCAAGATGCTGGCAAGAAACGTTCTTATTGTTAATCTTATAGAATTGAGACATTGCTTCCTTTACGAAAATGTCAATTTCTCGTTACCTTTAAAGAACACCTTACTGGAAGGGAATTTATATTATATATAAGTATTATAAGCTTGACCTTGTTTGGTATTGTTGGCAAGATTTATACAGCCTCTCGAAAAGTTACAGTTAAACTTCAAAAGCATCTGACACTTGTTAAAGAAGAATTTATAGAACTTAGGAACAAGCAAAATAGGCTCAATAAATAATAACAAAATATTGGATTTCTCACACATAAATCATATTTATATAGCACGTAGTTTTTCTTTTAGACATGTTATATAAAGAAACATCGACCGTATTTATTTCATACAACAAAATATTTAACTGATGCAAGATTGAAACTATACAAGAAACGTCATACAAATTCTATAAATACCTACATACAATGTAAATACTGTAAGAAATGTTTTAAAATTCGAAAGTCTTTTAAACTGGAGGAAAAATTTCGCTTTCACGTTAGGAACATTATCTTAAGAGTTTGTGACCTGTGAGTTTAGCGAGACGACTACAAATTACACCGTAAGCAATTACACAAAGGTGATAAAAAGTTACTCCAGTTTACATTGCTAATTAAGAACAGGTTCTTCCGTTTCACTGAAAAATATTCAACCTGTTCGTAACAACGATGAAGGTTCGAACATTCTGTGTTGCCGGATCGGAGACAGCAGCGGATGCCCCAGTAGCTTGAGGCTTCCGCTAATTTCGAAATTAGAAAGCTGGCAAAGCGAGTGGCACGATTGAAAATGGCACTGACAACGAAAGAATGTTCCCTATTTCCCGTTGAAGACACGGCTCATTGTCTTAAAAATCCACTGAGATGGATAGACGTGGCTTGAGTAGGAAAGGGGGAACGTCGGTATAATTACTGTAAAGCAAGGGGTGGTTTTCGATAAAGGACGCCAGTGCACTCTATTTATACGGGGTGACCTACGAAGTCTCTTTCTCCTCTCCTTTCTACTGTCACGACATTATCTACTGACGAATGAGAGAGCAGAGATCATTCCACATAGGGATAATTTAAAAAAACCTCGCTTCGTGATGATTCCAGACGCAGCAATTATTACGTGTAACCCACTGGTTCTTTTAAATTTTAATATTACTTCCACTCCTTATTACGGTAACGCGAGACTCGGTGAAAAGGGAATGAAATATTTAAGACGTTTCTCTCTTGCGAGATGTAAGTTTGTTATAGGATGTCTCGTCGACCAATACATATACATTCCACGATATAAGAATGCAACATTTTATACGTAGTATTAATTGTTTAGATATATTGGATTATCACCGATGTTTATCATTTGTATGATAGCTAACATGTATAAGTTTCATAAAATGTTCTTCAGAATGTTACTTGAGCTACTTACATTTCACTACTGTGAATCTGTTGATATCTTTTCGTATTTCATTATGAATTTATCGCATTCTCATTTTATGAAGAATTAGAAGAAACAGGCAGTAATAACATAAATGAATCAGCGGCTTATTCTTATTTGAATAATTCTGAAACCGCAACCATCTTGATATTTAGGAATTCAATCGAAAGATTAGACTCAAGAGGAAATGCTCGTATTTACGAATTATTCGTACGCTATGTCAAGAGTTTATAACGCATCTGCCGCTTCTGAAAATATAGATACCAGAACCCAGCCGTTCGTATGCACGAACGTTTATTTTCTACAGTCATAAAATAATTTCCAAGCCTCTAACATCTGGCTTCGTCGATCATGTATACGAAGTATAAATCGAAGATTTCTCAAAAATGTCTAATATGCAGTGTGTAATAACCACGTCATAAACCCCTACGGTTTTACCATTAATAGAAAAGCTGGCAACAAATTTTTCAATAATAAACTATTTAAACGTCGTCTGTAATATTTCACATATTCCCTTTTGGCGTGCACTAGGTATGTCATCTTCTTCTAGATAACTTTCACATTTCTATTTCATACCACAATATTTTTAAACACTTAGACTGAAACATAAAAATAAAATACTTGTCAAACGTGATGATCTAACTAAACGGTGGCCAAACCTTTTACATTCTTCTCAACTCTTTCGTAAATCTTAAAAACTAATTTAACAAATTTCACATTTCAATTATTTCCATTGCGAATCAAAAACTAGACACGGATAATTCTATAAAGAATTAAATGTAAAATATCTACAAAAGGAGGGCTCTCGATTATTTCCTCTTCTTAAGAAATAAACCGGTTGTTATATGGATTAACCCTAACTCGGATCCAGTGACCTAGAATTTCGTCCACGTTCTCTCCGCAATTCTGAATGACCGCGCGAACCGAGGCATATCAAAGCGTGCCGCTGATGCCAGGCACCCTGATACGCCATGCAAACGAAGATATCACGCGACGTTTATTCCAGGACACCCGTTGGTTCGGCCACCTTTGTTCGGCGGGGGTGATTAAAAAGTTGCTGAGTGAGTCGCGCTGACAGGAGGACGCGGAGCGAGACAGATACAGAGAAGCGGTGAAAGTAACGGACAGAGGAAAAAGAGAAAGGATGGAAGGAAGCAGGCGTGCGAGAGAATGAGTAGGAACGGAGCTGTGGAAAAAGGAGGGAAAGTGCGAAAAACCAAGTTGCGAAAGAGGGAGAGAGAGAGAATAGGACGAGGAGAGACGCGAAAGGAGAAAGATACAGAAAATAGGAAAAGAGACAGAAGTTGAGACAGCCAGCGCAGGAGACAAATCAAAAGGATAAAGATGCGAGAACGTTTGAGGAAAAGGGACGGATGAAAGGGTGACATAGGGACGGGGATGGACGAAAGGGTAAAAAGCGCGGGATAACTCCTACTCGGTGTGTACAACCATTAAGCGCATCGGGTACAACTCCGAATGGGCTCTTGGCGTGATCACCTAACATTTTCTTCCTGTTTCAATCTCCCTGTGTCTCCCTGTTACGCCAGCCACCCACCGTGCACAACACGGTTACCCTTTTTTTTTTCTTTTATTTTTGTATTCCTTTACTTGCCGCTTCTTCTGCTCTTCCTTTCTTGGAAATGCCCCTGCATCTGTCATTGCTCACCCGACTCTGCATAAATTGACACTCGTCCGATTTACCTGGACCATTGTCGTTTATTTCACTTATTGTGCGCCGATCTTTTAAACTACGTTTCTTTCGTTTCGATAACAGCCTGTCGATTTAAATGTACATTAATGATGGAAGTATTACGCTTGGAAGTTATCGTATCGGTTTAATTTGCATTAAAATATGTGACGTTTAAATTTGTTGTGTAGTTAGCCGCAAATTTGTAACACGTATGTTTGAAGTATAAAGGATCCTTTGTGTAAGACATTTTTAGAAATATAATAACAATTTGGAGAAATTCGTTGGCTATTATTTAAATTGCTTCATCCTATCTTTTCCTTCTCATAATTTATGTTTCTTAGTTTCAAGTATAATAAAAATAGATTTCCCTCGATAATGCTGGCAATGGTTATCTTTATTTGATAGATCTTGAATCTATTGCGTGCATTGTAGTAATTTTATTTGTTTTATAGAAAAGTGCATACTGTACAATTTTATTAAACTGTGCGGATGTGGTCTTAAAAATTTTATTTTTAATACAAAGAATCTGTTTATTAATATGTACTGTACAGTATAAAAATTGTAACACAGAATATATAATAAGAAATATATAATCGCTTTATTTATTCCAATTGTTATTTATAGATATTTAGAAAGAAAATACATCCATCGTTTCTTGCATTAACAATTGTTATTTGTTTAACTGTTATCTTTCCTTCTATTATTATTTCTTTTTCTTTGTTTTTTCTTTTTTTGCTAGATGATAAAATACCTCATTAATTTCATTGAAACAATATTTTTTCAAATTTCCAATTGTTCTCAATTTTTATTTGTCAACTTGATTTACGTCATTTATTTTCGGAATCGCCTATACAGGAAATGATTGCACGTGTTCAGATTCGAGGACACGGAAGCATACCTGAACTAGCCTCTTGAACGAGACGGAATTGGGAATTAATTGGTTTGTCGTCTGCAGATCTGCCCTTTCTCGTTTTGCAGTAAGGCTCAGATCTTTCAAGTACGTAGAGAAATTAGCTTTCTATGATAATGCCAGATTAGGAACAGTAACATTATGAAAAATGTCCGATAAATTTTCAGGTTTTAAAATTAATTCATCAGCATATTTTAAAGGAGACAACGCAATGTAAATTGTTGAATATCGAAACAAGTGCTTTCACATAACATAGAATATATAGCTGACTATACTATGATGTATTAAAAAGAAACTAATGCTTAATATCGTGTGGCAATTAATTTGTGATTT